TGGCAGCTCGTACCTATTTGATTTTTTTTCCTTTTCTCAATGCACAGCAAATTTGGCTTTCAGTGCGTTATCTCTTTTGTTAATGCAAAAAGATTCCCTGGGCGAAAAAATTGCTCATAATTACCAGAGAGATGGGGAAACTGCATTAGAATAAATAAACCTGAAATTACTGTAATTATGTTGTGTTTGATGGGCCCGGCTTGTAATCAAGAAGAGAATACAGTGAAATGATGCTGACCCTCTTGGGTTTGCAGCTGTACACGCACTTTGGGGTCTTTTTTTGCAGAAAAGAGTCATTTTGATAATCATTAAGCTGTGTGTAACCTATTTCAGAAGTGTTTTAAAATGAGGTTCACATTTTTTGAACAAGGGGAAAAATCCCAAAATTGCATTTTGCCATTACAGACTCATACATAAGGAAAGGTTGTGTTTTCTAAGTGACAATTGTTAAGACACAGTATTCGAAATCAGTATTTAATCATTATAATGAGGTATTGTTTAAATATAACCACCTTTAGATTATTCATAGTTTAATTAATATACTCATTATGAAAATCTTTGAATCAGATATTTGATGAACTACTTGTCAGTAACAAGGCAGCATTAATTAGGCCTATATTGAGATTAACATTTTTTTAAAGTACAACTGCTTATAATTATAATAGAGCCTAACTAAAGACCGCCTTCGTTTAGCTAAAACTAATAATTTCTCTATTTGAACTGTTAGCAAGAGATTATTAAATTAGTATAAGCTAATATATCAAAGTATTAAAATCCGCTTGACCAAATAGATGTTGCCTGTGGCTTCAGGCATTGGGCCCTGGCTGCTGTCTGAGGCACCCGATTCAGATGCGTGAGACAAATCTACCAAAAGCTCCCCGCTAGCAGAGTCTCCTCTTGCAGGGAAGGCAAATCCAGCGAGATGTGTGCCCTGGCGCCGGAGCCCAGCCAGGGCAGTCGGCTCCCTACTTCACCTTCGAGGCTGGTCCGCGCGAGCGCCTTGGTCTCGGAGGCCTCCTGTCTCCTAATTGCGCTCCAAGTTCTGGGGACCTGCGGGGGAAGACAAGCCCCACTCCTGGGCCCAGAAGGGGCCTCAGATCCGGGCTCCATCCCCCACTACCTCCCTGCTTTCCGCCACCTCCCCCCGCCACTTCCCCTCCCCTTCCCAAAGGGCGTCGGAAGAGCCTGGCGCATCTGATCTTTCACCAGCACCAATTGAAAAATGGGTGCTTGTCACAACACAGATCATTGCCTCCCCCACTCTGCTCCCCACCGCGCGCTGCAAAGGGGAGCCCCAAAGGTGGAGGGCCGGTGTCTGAAGGCGGGTGTGAGAGAAGCCAAATCCTTCCCAGCAGCCCGTCGGGGCCCGCGGCCTTCCTCAACTTCCTCAGCTCGGCCGCGGGATCCGGGCTTGCGGCTGGGTGGAGGCGCGGGGCGGCAGGGCAGAGAAGAGAGCCCGGCTGGTTCACCTGTTCCCAGCTCAAGTCCATCCAGAGAGGACTGTTCTGAGCGGTTCGCCTGAGATGCCCTCTTAACGGCCTGGCCCGGAGACTTTCGGGCTGGGGTGAGGGGCTTCACTCGGCCAGCCCTCCGGTTCCAACGAGTAAAAGGAGCCCACCCGCCCCTCCCTTGCCTCCTCCATTTCTCCCAGGCACAGAGAAAAGGCCGGGGATCACTAGGCGGGAACGGGCCTCTCCTTGTGGACGGGCCCTTGCGGGTAGAAGTCACTGCGGAGGGCCCCTGGTAGAGCCTTGACACTGTCCCCCGGAGCTCAGTGACTGATTGGCTGGTGGCCTGACAGACATATCCTGATGGCGTCTGGCCGCGTCTTTTCGGCGTCGAAATCCAGCGCCCTCCTGGCAAGCAAAATTAAAATTGGAGAGGCCGGATCCCTGCCGAGGCGAGGGGCAAAGTCCGGCGGCGCAGTCTCCAGGCTTCTAGGCCTCCCGCAAGTGGGGTGTGTGTGTGTGTGTGTGTGTGTGTGTGTGTGTGAGTGAGAGAGAGAGATGGGGATCCCTCAAACCTCATGGGCTGGCTGTCTCTGAGTTCTGCTTTGATCTCCTCCTGTCAGCCGGCCTTCACAGCCTGGTAGGTTCCTGAGCCCAGGCTCTGCCATGCCGCACCTGCTCCTGATCCCCTTTCCCAGGGACCCTTCTAACTTAGGTAGGGATCAATCCCCTGGGCGGTCAGGAGCTAGGCTCTAGGCAAGAAGAACTGTCCCTGAGGGTGCCCTGCAGGCCTAGGTCCCTCACTCTGGTATGCCTGGAGCAAGGGTCACTGCCCCTGCGTGGTGCCCCCAGAGGGGGAAGTTTGGCCCAGACACCGGCTCCTCTCACACAGCACACAGTACAGCAGCTCTTTCTCGAAACCATAATTTTACTGTCTCAAAGAAACTTTATAACTTATTTACAAAGTTCATTTTTCCAAGATACAAAGCAATAAGTTAACATTCTCAATATAAAACTAAACTTTGACATAGAGAACACAAAACACGGTTGATTTCAATTGATCACATTTTCCAGATTTCACAAGTAAAATGTCAAGATTCTCATTTCACAAAGCATCAGGTTTTACAGCCACACACAACGGAACGGAAAAAAAGCTAAGCTTGTGCAACATGTTTACAGAACAATAATAATAACAATAATAATTAATAACAACAATAATAATATGTACAGCGATTAGATCCTGCACTGGAGACTGTGCATTTGGAGTGGTGACTGGAATTATTCTAGTCGAGCCTCTGGGGATTGTGGTAAAGCTGCTTTTGTCTTACTCTCTTTAAAGCCCATTGGCATTAGGGCACTTGCTCACACCCGCCTGTTTTCTCATCGATGCCCTTGGGTCCTCTCTTTCTTTATCCCTAAGGAGGGAATTCAGAGTTTCCTTTTTGTCCAGGCAAGGAGACTAAGTGTTCTTCTCAAGACAAGAAATTGTGTTGGCTTCATTTCTTCCTTAAAATAATGTGGGAAATGTAAAATATGCAAATCATTCAGCTCCAACCTCTCTATACCAGTGAAGTACAAAAGTTACTGTATAAGTTAAAAATCACCAGGTCCTGCTTATCTGTTTTTTTCTGAGTGCATTTAAAGTAATGGGTATGTTTGAACAGTGCGCTCCTCCTGTCCTACAGAACCACGCACTGGCCAACATTCAGCCTCAGGCGAAGTCCATTTCTCAATAAATAAACCCCCCTCCCTCTAATTTCCCCCAGTTCCAGAACAAGCTACACAGATGTTTGGGCAGGCCCAGGAAAAGGTCTCAAAAGAGAAAGCATCCCAGTATCCAGAACTGGGCAGCCAGGTGGACCGCGCCTCCTGGACCTGGTGACTTTTTTCAGATGCCGGAGAATGAGAACAGCGGACAGACAAGGACCTCAACTTGTCAGCGCACAGATACAGAGCGAAAGGAGACAAGAGACGGACAGGACAGAAAATAGCTTTTGCTTTTTCGACATTGCTTTTGTTTTTTCCTGATAGTCCCACACAGCTGGGTGAGGGTCCTGGGTCCAGTCCGGCAGGCTGGGCCCAGTGGGCTGCCTTGCTGCGCTGGCTGTCTCCCGCGGCTGTGACTGTGTTCCACATCATTCTCTGCGGTCGCTCCCGGCCCAGGCAGGGGCTCCTGCCTGGAGAGTGTGGGGACCAGGGAAGTAGTCAGTCCAGACCGAGAGGGGCTCTGAGAAGGCGGTGGGTGTCCTGCCTTCACAGTCCCTTCTTCTTTCCCTCTGGGCCTTTCTCCGGGTCCAGGGCACACGGATGGGGTGGATGGACCGGGAGGCAGGAGGGGCTGGACCAGGGGAAACAGAAAGGAGGCAGGCGGGAACGGGTGGGCTACCTCACATGAGTTGGGGTTGCTGCATAGCTTCTTGGTGCGCCGAAGGGTACCATGATGTGTAGCTGGGGATGTAGGAGCCCGCACTGCCGCTGGAGCCCTTTCCGGACGAGGAATTGGGGTTCCATCCAGGTGGCACGGGCGGGGAGCCGGCGGACATCGCCCGGCCGTTGGCCAGTGCACTACCCTCCAGAGCTGCCCCTCCCTGCTTCATCAGTTTCTTGAACTTGGAGCGCTTGTTCTGGAACCAGATCTTGACCTGCAAGAGTGGACAGCAACGTGACTCGGGCTAGGTCCATTGCGCCTTTCCTGGTGGTGGGAACATAAGGGGGTGGTGGGACAACTAGAGAGGATGCCTTTTGCTGCCCTGTGTGACCAACCGACCGACTGGAAGAGCAATTCCCAGCTGGGGGAGCAGACCACCCCCATGACCACCACCTATAAGAACCAAAGTTTCAGATGCTGGGCTGGCCACTGATGGCCAGGAGGGGCAGCTCTCCGAGAGCCAGGGGGCGTGGTGGTGAGGGGTAAGAGAGGATCTAGGCCTTCTCCTGCCAGGGTCTCAGCCCAACCCTGGCTGGCAATCATCTGGGGAAGATGCAGTGCCCTCACAACATAAAGCCTTCAATTCCAATATAAACATGAATAAAAGAATCGAGTAGAAAAAAAGAGTGCAGGAAATTTATTTGCTATGCGATCTGCCATCTCTTTGCCATCCTTTCTGCCCTTGAGTGAGTTGGGGGCTGACCGAGGAGGCCACAAAGGTTTCGTTAAACTTTTCACATGGACTTAAGTCAACCATTCCTTAGTGTCTGTTCTTCTCCCCAGCTCTGCTCCAAATCCCGGCCCCGGACGTTGGAAAGCCGCGCCAGCCGGCATCAAAACGTTCATGGGCTCCCCAGCGTCTTAAAGAAATCTGGGAAGAGAGGTCCCGTTTTTTCTCCAGAGTCTGGGACTTGGGAGGTGTGAGCGGGCCAAGGAAAGGATCCCGCCTCCCCCGACCTGGAGAGGAGGAGTGGTGGGGGAGTGTACAGAGGCTCTGGACCAGGCCCCGAGTGATTAGCCACACATTTTAAAGCCAAAGAAGGGATTAAGCCTCGCATCCATTGTTCCAGTTGTTCAGGCACGTGTGACCTCAGAATCCCCAAACAAAACGTCTGGGGAAATCCTCCCTGCGCCCTAATCAAATTGTCCAGGGACAGAGGGCCAGGCGGCAGGCAGCACGGAGTACAGAGTGCAGCGAGAGATAGAGCTGAGAGAAGGAAGGAAGGAGAGACGCGTTGGGAGAGCCAGGAGTGGAGGACACACACACACACACACACACACACACACACACACACACACACACACACACACACACACACACCTCTCCCCCACCCCCTATGAAGGCCAGAGAGCCAAACATGCCAAACATGAAGCTCCAGGCGCAGGAGGGCCGTGGGAATCCTGCGTGGCGGTGGGGCAGCAGCGAGGTACCTGCGTCTGCGTGAGTCCCAAGGAGGCCGCGAGCTCCGCCCTCTCGGGCAGAGCGAGGTACTGAGTTTGCTGGAACCTCCGGTTCAAAGCCTGCAACTGCAGACTGGAGTAAATCGTCCTGGGTTTGCGGATCTTTTTCCCCTTGCCATTGAAGCGCACTTCACCGCCTTCCACCACTGTGCTCTTCTCGGAGTCAGCCCCTGGAGGGACAGCAGAAGCGGGAGCAGTTGTTAATGCGAGGGACAGCCTTAGTGCGACTACCGAGTGGTGCCGGAGGCAGGGCCAGGAGAGAGAACGCTCAAGAAACTCCGAAAACCAGAGAAGGGTCCCGCAGAATCCGAGGGCCCGACCTGGGCCACTGCAGGCGGATTGGGGTAGTTCCCAGGCGCGTACCTCCTGCCTTTGCAGAGAAACTGCTATTTTTGCAGGCAGTGGTTGAGGTTTAATTACTCTTAATTGCACACATTGTTTATGGCGCTACGCAATAAATAATTACTGAGACTGATACGTGCACATGTGGGTTTCTGTTTTCCAGAGGGGCATTGTGTGTTCGGCGCACGCAGCCACCCAGAGGTCCAGCTAGTGCCAGGGGACGCTCTCGGATTTATTTATCCTTTGTTGGATAGTTGTTAGTTGGCTGGATTTTTAAAAATTTTCTTTGCTATGACAAGGATTCATAGATTGATACCCGAGACCTCCACTGCTCCGGCGCCCCCCCCATCCCACCTCTCTCACCCTCTCCCTTCTCTCTCTCTCTCTCTCTCTCTCTCTCTCTCTCTCTCTCTCTCTCTCTCTCTCTCTCTCTCTCTCTCTCTCTCTCTCCCCACCCACCTCCCCTCCCTTTCTCCCTTCGTACCTCTTCTCCCTCTCCCGGGCAGGCGCACGTACCTGGATCCTCCAGGCGGCTCTGGGCGAGGCTGGCGCTGCCCGGGTAAGACTGCACGGAACTGATGTAGGGGCTGGACGCGTGGCTGCTGACCGAGTTGACGTAAGGGTAGCCCAGCGGTCGGGAGAAAGACGAGGCCGAGCTGTAGGCGCCGTCGGGCTGCGAATGGCCCGCCGAGTGTAAACAGTGCATGGAGTAGTGCCCGTGGGACAGGGGAGAAGGAGACATTTGCTGGTTGGGCGGCCCAAACTCCATAAACACCGCCTTGCCCGACACGGGGCTGTTGAGACTTTCTGGCATGGTGGTCATGGTCATCTCTTCTCGCGGGGTCTGGGTGTGGGTCTCTGTCTCTCCTCTGCTTTCCTTTGGGGGGTTTCTGTGTTTCTCAGGACAGGAAGGAACCCAATTTAAGCGGAACAGGGGTTTTCACTTTCCATTCATAAGAAAATGGAGTTTGTCTCTTTGAAAAGTCTAAGCATGATGCTGCTGAGCTCCCCAAACTCGCTTCAAAGCTTTGACTCAGCCGAGGTCATAAATATTCATGAGCTGACGGAGCTGATTGGTCCGTTGCCTTGCATAATCACCGGGGATTGGTCCAAGGCGCTCCGTCTCTGCTGGACTAGAGCGGGCTAGGCGGCCGGGACTCGGGAGAGACGGGTCCACACTTCCCGGCCGGGGCTCGCTGCTCTGCAACAGAGCGTGCCGGGTGGGGAGCACAATGGGCTGTGGCGCCGGCGCCAGGTCTACCGCGGCCCGCGGCTCTTCAGCCTCTCGCCTCACGGTGTGCCTTACTTCCCAGAAAACAACCTGCGACTCAGCGGCCGCCCTCATCCCCTACTGTCCCCATCCTCCTCCCGCCCCCAACACCGGGGATCCCGGCACCGCTTCTCCTAGTCGCCTGTGCCACTTGGTCCGGCGCTAAGCTAGGGTAGCTCTGGAGCCTGGCCGCAGCCTCCGGAGCGCGAAGTCGCGCACTGGGGGGCGCTGGAGGCGGTCAACAGAGTGCTTCCTCCCCAGCTTCTAGTACCGCTCTCCCCGAGGCCCCGCCCTAGCCTGGGTCCGTTCTGCCACATCCCTGGGGTGAGGTCTGGGGCCCTGCGGGTGAACTCACTCACTCGGCCGCCGCGCCGCCGCCGCTCCCTGGGGCCGGCTCGCATTGCTCCAGGCCCAGCTGGCCCCTCCAGCTCGAGGATGCACCGGTCTGATAAAAGCAGTGCGCGCGGTGAGCCAGGAACCCGCGCTTCTCCTCCCAGGAAAGGCAGCCGCACCGCCCCCTACTCCTTGACACTCCCCCCTCTTCCCCTCCCAACCTTCCTCCACCCCCCCTCCTCTCTCCACTCCCTCGGCGCCGCGCGCCCGGGGCTCAAACGCCCCTAGGGCGCGGCGCCTAGTGGAGTCGAAGAGCTGGCGGGCTGGGTGTTGCTTGAGCCGAGGACGCCAGGTGGTCGTTTTCCGGCCTCCTGGGGTCTGGCGAGAGTGCAGTGGGTTTAGGAGTCCCGTGGGACACCGAAACCTGTGGCAAAACCAGGCCAATAGTAGGCTCACATATCCTTGGGTGAATATATCTCTCATTGTCGCCCAGGATCCTCCTTATCATCAATGGTCAAAGCGTGTCTGGGGGCTGGGCTGGTGGGGGCAAAAGCCGCCAAGGTGCCTTCTATCTTCTGGAGCGCTAGGTACAGAAAAGTGCATAAAGCCGCCCCCACCCCCGCTGTCATTATTTTGTTAGGTAATTAGAAAGTGTTGAGAATTCTTTCATAATTTAGCGGTGTGGCGGGAACGGGGAAATGATCTTGTGAAAGTTCACACGTGCAGATGTATTAGTTACTGATTCATTTGATTAAATGGTAGTCTCAAGTGCTTGGATCTGCAGCTGAAGGCGCCCCATTAGCATAACACTGATGTTTAATTTTCATACGCATAATTAGCCATATATTTAACACTAATAGCAACACGCAGCCTTTCAATGTTAAACAGCCCGGGATTTGATCTGGCCTGAGCTGAACCTTCGCCGTTGCACCTTTCCCTGTTTGGAGTGCGCAGTGATCACAGGACAAACCTCTGTAATCAAGCACATTTTGGCAGAAGAACACCAGTAAAAATGAACATTCAAAACAGAACATTGGTGCCGTCGTTACAGATATTAGTGGAAGGGGCTTCTCTCTTTTTTAACTTCAGTAGCAGCAGCTGCTGCCCGCGGAATTCCTCTCCTTTGGTTTACGGGCAGGATGTTGGGGGTAGAAATATTTCAGGCAACGTGGTTGGAGCAAAAAGAAAAACAAAAGCAAAAAAAAAAAAACCCAACAAAACAAACAAACCCACAACCAATCCTCCAAACCAATAATGGGCTTGCCAACGTTTAAAAAGATTTTTTTTCTTAATCACCCGACCACACGGTGATACTTTGTAGCAACAACCAGCTAATGTCTCCGCTACCAGACAACACCAGGAGCTGCTGGACTCTTCTTGATTTCTGTGTTGCGCTTGTGGGCTTAATTGTTCCTTCCCAGCTCCTGTTTTGGGTTGTGGAGCGCGGTGTGGTGCGACCTGCACAGCAGCACGGATGCCGCCCGGACCTCTCTGGTCTCGCGTGCGCCTTGCAGGCCCTTGACCACGTAAGTGATCGCGGTGGCTGGCGCGGGGCTGGGGTTGGGACAGAGGGAAGCGGTGTTGGCGACTCCAGGTGCTCAGGGCAATGCGTGAGGAAACCCGACAGTTGGGCCACCCAGGGCCAGTTTATTCCAAATAACTGCAGGGTGGGGACACGGAGAGAGGCTGCCACAGGTCGCCACCGTCTCCACGGCTCTCTGTCCGTCCACATTTGGGGAAATCCAAGACATTCACAGCTTAGTGAGCGGGGCTGGCTCCGGGGAACAAAAGACTCTGCATGCGTCCCCCTCAACGGAAACGGTTTCAGAGCCTTGCTCATTTTAGAAATGAATTATTGTGGGCGAGGTAATGTCTACACGCCGGAATCATTTCTTAGACCCAGAGAAGGTCTAGGGAGGCGCGGCTACGCTGGGGCCCTCCGGCGCACACGCACCGGCCTGGACTAGCTTCTCAACGTGCGATTTAACTCTACTCTATGAGCCTTTCCTCCCCATGCCGCTCAGGCGACACCTGTTCTGAAACTCTGGTTTGCTTCGAATTTTGCCTGTCCCAACTATAAGAGGAAATAAAACTCTTTCATTGATCCCGAAAGGCACGGATTGCCCGTAGTAGGTGCCCGGTGGTGTTAGCTGTAGCTACACATGGGCTGGAATCCCGGCTGCCCTGGGTGCAATTTGGAGCCAGTTAAGCTGGCAGCCGTAAGGGGTGGAGAGCGGACCAGGTATTTTAAAATCTGCTTCCTAACTTCAACTTCAAAGCATGTAAAAGGGAGTTCGGTCGAAACAAAGTTTGTTTCCTACAGAGCTGCAGAGTCTTGGTGCTGGAATACACACACGCATATACATGTACGATGCTTAAACTTTAGGTTACTTTAATAAGTGAGATTATGAACCTGCCCCATAAATACCTCCACCTTGGAATAATTGCTGCACAAGCAGTGTGTTGTCCCAGTGGGTGGTGAAATCCTGTGGTCCTAATACAACTATTCTTGGGGAACCTGATCCGCAGATAAGATACAGGCTAATTGTTGCAATCCTACTGCAAGGGAAGTCGTTTTTAGGCAAACCTCTCCCAAGGACGTCTGGGACTTGCTTCTCTAGAGACTCTGAATTGTTCAGGGGCAGCCACCTCAATCTGTAGGCCTTTGCTTGGCCAACTCTCAGGACCCCAAAAGTTTTTCTGTAAACCTTGAAAATATTCAACCCCTTGTCTTTTCCAGCTCTCAGATCCACTAGAATCAGAATAATTTCTATCCAAATTCTCCATTTTTGGACACAGCAAAACAGAACCAGAGGGGTTGGTGGACACCTGGGAGAATCCTGAGTTCAGGAAAAAGCTTGAATGGAACACTTTTCCCAGCATGCTCATTGAACTCAGTTTCCTATGTTTTTTCCCACCACTGTGAGTGTCACAGAGAGAAGCTGGCTCTTGGGACCCAATTACAGATGGCATCTATCATGAACTCTAGGAGCCCTACATTTCCTTGGTGCGACATTTAAGGCCAAACTATATTTAAGTGGATGGCAACTTTGCAAAACCCGCTTTAGTAGAAACAAGAGTTAACAGAACCAGTGACCTCAAGGACACCCTAACTGGATTTGTTCCTAAAACCGTGATGAACAGAGGGGGATTGCTTTCTACATGGCCTGATAGAAGCCCACTCCTTCTCTACCCCTGAGCCCAGGTGTGAACAGATCCTGGGGAGCTAGTGCAAGGAAAGGGAGGTACTCAGACAGGAAAAGGTCTTGGGAGAGGATTGGATTTCCTGCTCCTGAAGCAGGTGGAGCTGCAGGCAGGCGGAACTGGAGTGAAACTCACCAGCTTCAATCCTGCTAACTAGGCCCTTGCCCTAAAAAGTTCCCGGATCTCTTCTTGCTGGGACCCTCCAGCACCACAGTGCTAGAGTGACGTCTACTGTCCAAGGGGGAGCAGTATGGGGAGAGGTCAGTTTAGGGGCTACACCAGTCTGGGGCTCATGCTTCAATTCCTAGTGCAACAAATGGTGTAGTGTGTGTGTGTGTGTGTGTGTGTGTGTGTGTGAAGTAACCTCTGGGATGCCACTGCAGGGCAGGATGAGGGTCTCTGAGAAGCCGCAGGGGACCAGAAAGCCATGTTTTTAGACTGATGAAGCCCTGTAGAAGGGCCAGAGTCCTCAGCCCACAGGGGGAAAAAAAGTTTGTAACCAACCACTCCATTCCAGCTGATCTTTTCACTGCAAAGCTGTTATGAAGGGGAAAGAACTGGAAGGGCTGGGGAGCAGCTGACCTCTGCAAGTACCCTTGGGGCCAGCTGGAGTGGGATCCACAAGGGAGAAAAAAGAGGCTAAAAAAATTCCAGCTAACAGCTAGGCTCGGGTTTTTCTTCATGCGCGCGCTTGTGACAAATTCAGAAACTCAAAAATTAACCAACTACCCTCTTCTCCTACCCTCATTGTAGTATTGTCAGAGACAAGGAGCACAGACAAATGGGTTTAGGAGGTGAAAGATTTTTACTTGGGCATTGTCAAGGCAAGGGAAAGAGAAAAACATGCACCTCTAGAAACCCCAGTCTTCCAAACGAGGGCGTCCCCATACCCCTCAGAAAACGTTTCCCCGAGCTGGGAAGCCGCGCCGCGCCAGGATCAGTCTTTCCGTAGCTGTGCCGCCACGAAGGGCTTCGGATCTGAGCTCCCGACTGCCTCCGATCCCCACCTCATTTTCCAAGACCCTTCTAGGTACTAACTAGGTTGGCTGCGGCACAATCTGTGGT